AGCCAATTCTGGAACAGGCGGAGGAGATGCGGCAGGTGAGACTGGTACGAGAGGAAGGTATCACGAAGGTGCTCAATGAGCCACCCAGAAGGACCAGCAGCTGTGCCTCGAGGGGCTGACCGCAAGGCCTGATGAAGAAGCGGGACGGTAAGCTGAGGCACCTCTGGAGGCGAGAAGTCGGAGAGCCAGTCCGGAAGTTCTTCAGGAGCAGGAGGGTGCTTGGCCTTAAGCGCAGCAACGGTCTCTAGAGTCGGTGGGGCAAGCTCTCCAGCCTCTAAAGCAGCAAGGGAACGCGACCAATCTCCGCAATGCGCGAACCGCTTGGCCCTGTTCAACCGAGCAAACGTAGATGTGGACCGGGCGGACGATGGATTGTGCGGTCGGGATGCCGGTACAGCTGCAGCGACAGCTTCGTTGAAGAGGGGGAGCCAGTCACCTTGAATGAAACGGCGCGCATAGGCTGTACATGCCGCCGTGGCTGAATGTGAGGCAGAAGTAGTTGAAGAGCGAAGCACGAGTCGGGGGAAAGCGAGGAGGAGGAAATGAGCTGCAGGGTCGTGAGGGAAGATGACAAGACGACGAATCGGTATGAGCAAAGCATATAGGACCAGCAGGCGAGCTCGCGGCGGGATCCGGCGTAGCAATGGGCCAGGGGTAATGGTGGGACTAAAGAACGTCCCCTAATCCCAGCTTATAACAGCTCCCCATGTCTGCTGAGAAATCGGCGGAGGCGCTGAAGAGGACGGGGAGGTAGCGGCGGCACGAGGAGGAGGTGGGCGGGCTGCTTCTTGACGGGCTGAATCGTTGCGGGAGCATGCAGAGAGGTGGCGAGTGAAGCCACCCGAGCTGGTGAAGTTGGTACGGTTGCAGGTGGAGCAGCGAAATCTTGGGCCCGGAACCGAAGTGGGTGGAGGAGGGGAAACAGCAGCCGCAGCAGGGTGCGAAGCAGGTGTAGAAGCAGGAGGAGGGGAAGAAGCAGGGGGAGGCTGCGAAGTAGGTGCAGCTGCAGGTTCTGGATGGCGAGAGGAGTGTTGTTGGGAAGAGGGTAAGGTGTCTGTAAGGACTTGATGGAGTACGTTTTTCTGCTCCTTTGAAATGAAGCGGGGTGAGGCTGATGACTTGGGGTGTTGAGACGAAGAGGCTGGGGGGTGTGGAGCAGATGATTCCGGCAGTGGCGATGAAGTGTGTGCAACAGTTGGTGCAGTAGGGCGAGATGGTGAGCGCGGTGTCTGGTGAATCGGAAGAGCCGCAAAAGCTGGGGTTGAGCGTGATCGACACCACAGTACAAGAAATCTGAAGGGTCCAAGGACTTCCCCACTGGCGCCATGTGATCTCTATGCTTCCAATTGGCTACGATGGGCAGTAGCAATGTCTTCAACTTTGTAACAATGCAAAAGCTCGGGCCGAGAAAACCAACGTCAGGGTTACTGGACAGGCTAGGTTTCGCATTTGCAATGTCAGGGTTTCACAATGTCGTGGGAAGACCTCGCCCAAATCCCTCCGCGAAAACCCGTTCCCCCCTGCGGGTTTTCCTCGGAGGGATTTTCGATTTCCCGCAGTCGCGTAGCGGGGCACGCGAGGGGCGGGAGCCGACCCCTCATCCCACCCAAAACGAGCCCCGCCAGCTCGGAGTGGTCCCCGCACGAGCTGGCGATGACGCCAGCTGCTCCCCAACGTCCGTCGAGGAAATCCGCCTCAGTCGACGGATTCCGTCTAAACTCGACGGAAAGTGCCGCAGAGAAAGTGTGGCAGTAACGCGCCACAGAGCAATCTGATACAAAGCACAGCTGCAACTGAAATAAAAAACGTAAAATAAATAAATAAATAAACTGCAAGGCAAACTTGATAAGGAATAGGAGGCCTTGAGAAACAAGGGCAATCCCTAAAATTATTATTAATAGCTCTATCACCAACTTTAATATTCTTCATGCTTCAGAATTGTTAAGAAAAAAAGTTTTCCATCCGTATCGTTGTTTCAATAATTGTTTACATCTCCATTGACGTTGGATTATGCTCTCGGCTGCACATTTGTCAGCTTGATAATTTTACTGAAAATCATTGAATACCCAGGCCTGAATTAGAACAAATAACAACAATCTGATACGGTACCTACAAGATTATGCGTCTACAATCATGCAGGTACAAGGAAAGCGACGAGACAAAATAGCTAGAAATCAAGGAGAAAGGAGATGGAGAAGGAAAGGGAAAAACACATAACAACCCTCCTCAAGGTACCCTACGTTCACGCCCATCTGATACGGTAGTATACGAAGGAGGTGCAGGTCGACGGTCGCACCACCAGACACATAGCGCAGATGGGAGGTAGAACATGTGTCGACGATTTCGCTACCCGTGCGCCATAGAGCAAGTGATGATGTTCCGCAGGTCGGCCTTTCTAAGACCTACTGGGCGACTTTCGCTCAGAAGCCGGGTATTGCAGTCGAGTAACTTACATCGCATGGCTCGACGCTGCTTGGTCGAACAACGTTCGCCGAGACCAGCTCGTCGAGCAACGCACGTCGAGCAGTGCCCATCGAAGGGCCCCGTCGACCACTATCGCGCTCTAGCAATGCCCATCGACATCGTCGATCAGGAGATTCACTCTACAACGGTGGTGAGCTAGACTACGGGGGTTGGCACGAACTACTAGGAGTGATCATAGCTTTGCTTGGTTCCTTAACACTTGCGCATTCACGGGAGAGATTGGCAAGAGTTTCACTAGCAAAGTTGGAATTACAGAATGATAGAACAAGCAATGACAGAACTGACTACATCAGGCACCTAGCAACTCTGCAGCTAGCCTGGTCGACCGCCAGCACAGCTTGGTCGACCGCCTGCCAGCGTTGCGTAGAGGAGCCGCGCCAGCATTGTAGAAGAGCGACCTGCCAGCATCGCGGGTTGACGGCGTGCCAACGCTGCAGCAGAGCGGCTGTCCAGCGTTGCCCCGTAGAAATCAGCAGTGCGCACGCTCGCAGGTGCGCGCAGACGATTGGCCCGACCTGCCTCGTTGGGCATCCATTGGCTGTTGTCTACGCTTGACGAGCCACATCGACTTCAGGATACCATTCCGAAGTCGCCTTCGTCATCGCGATCTCGACGACGTTCGCGTGCCTCCGCAGAACTCGTCGAGCAGGTTACCCGGTCGACCTGGACACCACCAGGTGCTCCGGTCGACCATCAGTGTCTCCGGTCGACCACCAGATGCCCCTGGTCGACCACAGCTCCCGTCGAGCTACCCCCTGGTCGACGGACCCCTTCCGTCGACCAGAACTGCTCCGTCGACCTCCCGGTCGAGCTGCAGGTCGACGGGATGCTTCGCGGGCCTCGCGGTCGAGCTACAGGTCGACGGGATGCTCCGCAGACCTCCCCGTCGAACTGTAGGTCGACGAACTGCTCCATCGACCCTCTGGTCGAACTGCAGGTCGACGGACTGCTTTGTCGACCTCCCGGACGGCCCACCCGTCGCGTTTTCCATACGCGTTAGAGTGCGCCGATGTCGACATAGATGTTGCGTTGATACGACATAAAACGAGGTGTTGTCGAAAACAGTCTGGCGACGAACAATTGTCATATTTGAAGTGCCGACCTTTTCAGGTATTGTAAAATTTTTACAAAATTAGAAAGCTGGAGCTTGTTGAATATAATGATTTTTTTTCCAACTGTTTCCTACCTTGAAAATAGTATAGTCCTTTTGATGGGATAAGAAAATGCAGTCGTCAAACTCTACTATGACAATAGCATTGCTTATGTCGATTGTATGCGTTAACGACGTGTATTAACGTATTGTAAAACTCGAGCGTTGTTGATTACTTATGTGATTGTGGGTCTAGATGCCACAAAGAGAAATGAAACGGGTTGCATGCGACGGTAGATTTGCTTGGCCGAGTGTTATAAACGTCTCAACCGTTTTGCCCTTTTCCGTCGAAATCTTTTTGACGAATGGGGAGAATGCGCAGCTCGATAACTTCCGCGTCGAATGCAGATGTTGACAACCAAAATCTAGAAACGCCCTCTGCTGTCAATAATTCATTTCATCGAACAGCGTCTAGTCCCTTTTCCCGAGTGTGAAATCGGAACCATATCGAATGAGTTTCCCTGTTCGACAGAAAGTAATGCAGTACTGTTTCGACAAAAATGTGAAAGTGTAAGGGCAAAGATTTTCAATGTCCTTTGTGAGACGTTTAGCAACATCCTTAAGTATTGTCGAACATCCCCGAATCAACTCTTGTCGAACACCACATTTGAGTTTTCGTCGAAGAAATTTTTTTTGCCGCGAATTGAAATATTGTCGAAGGCGATACACCCTTTTAATGTCAACTAGGGCTCTGTCGAAGACAGAAAATCGGAGAACTGAAGTTCAAATGCCCTTCCGTCGAGGCCAAATTGACACATTTTCGACGGAAATACCCCTTCCGTCGAGAACAAAATGTCTGCACAAAAAGAAACAATTGTATATTATTTTTTTGGGTCTTAATTTGGCTGATATTTTTAGTTACGAAACACTTTTTTTAATTCTACTATGGTATATCGAGTTGACTCCCGTCGAGCTCCATCAATTTCTACTGTTACGGCTGACATATATATATGCGCATAAGAATACGACATTGAGACGGGGGGTTTCGGAGGGTTTTTTCGCCTGGTCAGGAGGGAATTTTGGGGGGACCGGAGGGATTCGGAGGGTTTCCGCATTTGCCCCGAAATCCCTCTGTGCCAGGGCGGGCGGGGCGACATGTGATGACGTCACGCGTGTGTATATAATAGGAGAAGATCATATTGGGGCCGAACATTAGCAGGGAAGTGTCCAAATTAGGGCCGGATAGCCGAACCTGGAGTTTTGGAGCTAATAGCCGATATTTCCATGTCAGAATGTTGTATTTGTCTAGCCTGCAGTGGGGTACTCTATAGCGAGTACAGCCCAATCTAGGGTTTGCTATTTGTATCTCAACTGCTGCTAGTCCAAACCCTCTTTCTGCTTCTAAACTTTCTCCTACTACTTCGACATGCTATCAGAGCAGGTCGACCCCCTTGGGTCGATCCTGTGGGTGGGCCCACCACCTAATGCTTCCGCTGCTGTTCTACTTGTCGCGCGCCTTGGTCGCGCGACGCCGACTTCCTGCCGGGTTTTCATCCCGCCGTGCGCTCGGGGCGCGCGGCGGTTTTCTGCCCGCCGTGCGCCCCGAGGCGCGCGGCGGTTTCCTACCGTAGAGGACCCCCGCGCGCCCCCGCCCTGTCCGTTGCGGCGCCCTTGGGGACCCGCGCGCAGCCCCCGCTGCCCCTGTCGGCGGTCGCGTCGCCCCGCCATCCCGTCACGCCGCCCTGGGGAGCCGCGTGCGACCCCTCGCTGCCCCGTCGACGGTCGCGTCGCCCCGCGGGACCCGCGCGCGATCCCCGTCGACCCTCGCGTTGCCCCCCGGAGACCCGCGAGCCACCCCTGGAGCCGTGCGCGACCCACCCCCTGCCCCGTCGCGGCGCCCTGGGGGGCTGCGCGCGGCCCCTCGCTGCCCCATGGTGGCGCCCTGGGGGCCGCGCGCCTTCCCCCTCGCCGTCCCCCGCGCTCCTACCCCGTTCCGCCCGTTTTAGGGTTTGGGGGTGGGGAGTGTGGGGGTGGCGGGTGTGGGGGTGCCGGTTGTGTGCCCCGTCCCCTCCTCCTCCTCCTCCGTCTCCCGCTGCTGCAGCTGCCGCTCAGGGGGGTGGGTGTGTGGGGAGCCGACGGAGTGGTACTAGGGGGGTGAAAGGGGAGTGGAGCTAGGGGCGAAGCAGGGGGTGTGTGTCGAGGGGTGTGGGACTGTTGGGGGAGGTTGAGCGGAGGCCGCCGTCGTGTCGTCTGCAGCGCCTGTATTCCGGGGTTCTGATAGCCACCGGTAGCTCAGAGAGCCGGTTGCACCTGTCGCCCGTGGGTCCGTTGCTCCTGTCGCTGCTGATCAGACGCAGAGCCTGTTACTCCTGTATTCCGGGGCCCTTGCTCCCGGTAGCCACTAGAGCTGCACCAGAGCCGTCTGTTGCCCGTGTGTCTGCAGCTTCAGTCGTCGCCTCCACTCTTCTCTCCTCTCGCCAGCCCTCCTCCTCCTCACTTGCCCTCTGTGACTGCCTCTAGCTTTGCTCATAAAATGTGAACTACTATTATGACTGCTTGTTGTGCTGATTACACCCCACTTTGGCTATGGGGGTGTGTCAGAATGTTATATTTGTCTAGCCTGCAGTGGGGTACTCTATAGCGAGTACAGCCCAATCTAGGGTTTGCTATTTGTATCTCAACTGCTGCTAGTCCAAACCCTCTTTCTGCTTCTAAACTTTCTCCTACTACTTCGACATTCCATACTCGCATAAATGATTTCACTTGTCATAGGTTCTGACCATCCCGCGCGTCGTAACTGATGGATAGTAAAAATCACGTTTTATGTCGATATAACTCAGTAATTTCACTCGTTTGCGCTACCAAGCACTAGACGATGCTACCGGGAACTGCTAGGGCAGAGCAGAAAAACTATAACTCCTAGAGAACTTGGACGCATTTTCAGGAGGGATCAACCCTAAATACGGGAACCCGCCTGGAATTTAGGGTTGATGCCTCCCCGAGTCGCATCCATTTCCGATTGGGTTTTATATTTCTTTTGTCAGCTAATATGATGGTTTTGTTGCGAAAAACAATCATGTAAGTCTCTTCTAGCTAATATAAACAAGACGAAACCACCCCCAGAGGAATACGACGCGAGCTTCGTAATAGGCGGCGATCTTAATCTAAACACAAACATTGAACCAATAAAGTCGCAATTTAGTAATTTCCTCTAAAGCTTGGTTCGGAACCTCGGCCCAGCCACCTGGGCAGCTCCGGGGTTATATCCAACGGTTGGGATTAATCCGGCCCTAATTTGGTCACTTTCCTGCTAATGTTCGGCCCCAGTTTGATCTTCTCCCTTGTACGATTGCACCAGGCAATTTCACTTGCGCTTTGTCCTTCTGGCCCAAACCTTCCGATAAAATGTTTCGGGTAGTGCGGAATGCGGGCGCGTTAGTCAAATTCAGGGACGGGTTCAAGAGAGGTTCGAAAGGCGAACCTCGACAGTAGGTGTGTTTTGTCGATCACAAAACTGAACCATAATGGACCCATGAACTCACCTCACTGCACCAGAAGCGCAGATTGTGCTACGTGAACCATGTGTGCTAAGATCAAAATCCAGTCAATCAGTCAGTCAGTCAGTCAGTCAGTCAGTTAGGTCAATTTTCAGTCAGTCAAAATTCTACATCAAGGGTAAAAAACCAAGATTCGGCCCTCAACGAGCCGCAATTAGATCAAGTATGGCCCTGTTCGGCAGCACTTTGGCTGCCAAGCACATCTGACCAGCACTGATTGTGACGGGGGCGACAAGACAGCCTCGGACCGAAGCTCGGCCAACTAAAAAACAAAATCAACGTGGTTCACTGTGCTACCCTTCCAGCTGTGCAACCAGACATGCAAACGTGGGCCTGTTCTCGCATGTTGCCCGCAAAAGTCAACAACCATGGCAGCACAATCCTAACCTAACAAACACAACCACCTGTACCTGGCTTCGAGGAACTTGGGTAATAAATTCCTGGAAAGCGCACAATTATATGGTCTAGCCAATCAGCTCTCTGCAATAAGCTCACAATGAACTAACAACCATCCCCACCCACGTTGAAAGCAAGATCACCACCCAACCAAAAACCAACCAGCAATGCACATAATTTTGCCCGTGAATTACTGTGCACTTCTGGTTGGTTGGCACTGTTGGGTTGTCATGGAACCAGCAACAAACCTGAACCAAATACGAAACTGGTTAGGAAAGAAGTTCGGCAATGCGACCAATCGTAGGGGATTTTTACACGTCACCATGAGTCAGCAGGCGTGTCGAACCTCGAAAACTATTTGGTTAGTTCGATTTGTGGCTGGTTATTGTTTGGTTGTGGCCGCTTTCTTGTGCAGCCGAACAAGGCCTATGTTGCCTGAGTAGGTTGGTTGGCTCTAGCGTAAGAATTTGAGGTGTATTCTCGCCACGCTCCGCTGTTTTGTGCAGCTGTCGGGCGTGGCCGAAAGTGACCACGGCATAATGTGCATTTATACGGACATTGAAACGTCGATTTGATAGTCACATCGGTAATTTGGCTTTCCAAGTTGACATTCAATCTTCAATTTTGAATAAGAGGGAGGCTCTTGCAGCATTGCAAAGCCGGTAACCAGCTTTTGTTCGATTTTTTTTCCTAAATTCAAATTTAAAAGCATGCGACCGAACTATGAGCCACTTTATTTGGCTACCGATGAGCCAAGGCGTTGAGCTCAGTTTGTACGAACCAATCTGATGCGAACCTGGAATATTGCAAGTGAACCGCAGTCGCGATTGCGGAATACAGCCTAAAACTCGCTGGCTAACCTTTGTCTCGCCGTTTCTGTAGTCCCTGGTGTTGCTGAATCATCAGCCGAAGCATCATTCAAAGATTCACTAACACGCGTCGTAAAAAAAAATCTCAAGTCTCTCATGTTCAACGCCTCGTTGTGACCACGTCCCATATATCCATTAGGTCATTCCCGTTATACCTTGTCATGCTAATGTATTGTTCAGAAACTTCTGCAAATAAAAGGGGTGAAAGGTTTTCAGCTCGGCCCATTTCACGGTCTGGTTGTTTTAAACTCGTATAGGGACGGGTTTGTATGTTTTCGGGGTGGCATTCGAAGTTTGATTGGGCAAAGTACACCAATTCGGCTAGAATCTGGCAGGCTCGAAATTGAATGTCGAGTACATTCTGACAGCGAATTTCTACTCGGCCAATGTTTAGCCGCTTTCACCCTGCAAATGGCGTGTGTCATTCTGCCTGGCCCGAGTGCCACTCCAAGAACGTTGATTGTCTGGGTTGCAACAGTGACCACATTCAGCGCGTGCCACCGCCTTGGTCCACGTTGACAGCCCAAACTTGGGTGTGAGCTGTACACTGGTGGTGGATGCTGCAGCCAACTGAACTGTACTATTTCGTTGGATGTGGCAAATACACCGTGCCCTCGCCAATTTCACGTTCCCTGCAAATCTTCGAAAAACACCCTTGACCGTTTCTGGCTGTAGGGATCAAAAAGTCAGAAACTGAAGGCTATTCGTGAAATCGTTTAGTGTCGATCTCGCGAAATTCTCACTCAGTGGCTACAGAGCATAGACTGGATCTTCCGCTACGACAATGTTTTTGTTTTCCTGCTGAGTCGTGAAGGTGGTCTCGAACATTTACTACTTAAAGCCGTAGTTGTCCGAATGACCCCCGATTTCGGGTAAACCAGAAAGGATTACTCAGGGGTGTGAAATTGGTGGGATTGAAGTTGGCGAGGACCACGTGTAGCATGAACACCTTCGGTTTCCGCTATAAGGGCAGTATAACGCCGTATTAGTTCATATCTGGTATGGTATGTTTTTGACGTGAAAGTGTCCCCATATAAAAGTGTCATTATACACAGAGCAAAGGCCAGATAGTGAGAGCACCCCCCCCAAAGCAGTGATCTCAAAATACGAGGTTGATAACATTCTGGAGTGTGTGGAGCGTCAGTTGGGATGGATTGGGCCAGATCTATAAATAATCCACATGATGAAAAAGCTTGTGGGATAAATATTATCATAACTTTAGACATGTTCAAAGCATGTGTGCCATATCAGCCTACCAAACGGGGGAATCCGCGGAGCATCCATCCGTGGAGCATTGAGGCGCTTGTAATTGAGTATCGGTCATAAGCGACGGCGCCTCTATAATGTCGAAAATGAAAAATTCTTTTCTTGGTACCAATTTGAAGTCTCAATAATGTGAACACATCAGTGTAACGTTCACGTGGGTTCATGTATGGAATTCCGGCAAAACTTGCTGCGATTTGATTTACCACCGCACAAAACCTGTCCCGGAGCAATGCATCTGCCAGCGCTGATGCAAAACCTGTCGGGCAGCCTAATCAGATTGTCAAGCGCTGCTAGGCAGGAGCATTTTATCTGAACCCTCTAGAAGGGGGTGGAATATTCCTTGCCAGCGCAGCATGTATGGTGCCGCGAACCCTCCTCTGCGGATTTAGGCAGGGGGTTTCCCGTCTGTCACTGACGAGGAACCCGAACCGCCAATTTGAAGGGGTCCCATTCGTTCTTAATTTCTTTAGCCATTCTTGCAATTTCATACTCAGTTTCTTCGTTCGCCCACCGGGTTGCGGAAGCTATGGCGGAATTCATAGGGGCCCACTTTTTGTTCAAAGAGAAACCTACCAGTAGGCCTGCGTATAAAGTTGACGTTGACGGGTGGTATACTCTGCGAAGTGTCACCCTACAACGGGAGTGGACTACGGAGGAGGCCACGGAGTTGTGTAGGTCATCGTAGCGTTCTAAGGCGTTGTTACTACTTGCTATGTTTACAGATGAATCTGGCAAGAGTTTCCATTATGAGATTGAAAAGGAACATGGAAAATTAATAATAAGAGTACAAAAAGAGACGTGCAAGTCGATGTGACAAGAATGGCATTGCAACACATAGCAAGCATTATGCAAGGCGAGTTGCCAGCACTGCATCAAACGAGTTCACCAACGCTGCAATAGGACAGCCTGCCAGCATAGCAGAAGGGCGACATGCCAGCGCTGCAGCAGGGCGGCCTGCCAGCGCTGCATTCGCAGGTGAATATCTGCGCAGGTGTATTCACCTACCAAATAGGTGCAGGTTGACGGTTGCACTGTCAGATATTTTACGCAGGTGCCAGGTAGAAAATATG